GACCACATGGTTGGTAATGTTGTCACTATGGACTGTATAGGTTGTATTTGTGCCCCCCCATAGAAAAAGATCCCCCCAACTTTACCAAGGATTCAAACCCAGAGCCCTGTATTCTGGACCATTTGGCCAATCGCTCCTCGGAATTAAGCACCGTACATTTAAACATCAAACAGAACAACTTTCCTAAGCATTTTACTAAATATAATACAGATTTAGAACTTCTATGCTAACTTCTCATAGCCAACCAAGCCTTGTCACCACATGTAGCTAAAGTACCCTTTTGTCTTTCCTGTGTTGTCAGGCCTATTTATTTTCTTTGCAAATCTGTTAGCCTTCTATTGCGTCATCTAGTTTGACACACTTATGCCACTTTGGACTGCCATCTTAAGCCTCAGCTCCAAGTTTGGCTATTTTGCTGGTTTTCCTCTCTCTTAAAGTCCTCGGTGGTTTTGGCATTTAGAGTAGACGGTCTTCCTGTTTTCTCCTCTGATCATGCACTCAGTGGGAGGTGGTCCAAACTTTGCTTCTGAAGAGTTATTTCCCTATTGTTTGGTTAACTGATGACCTTTAATTTGAATTCTGCAGACTATGGCAAACCTTTTAGTTGTGGTAATTTTTTTTTTGACATTCATATGGCCTAGTGCTAAAAAAAAAAAGTGTTCAGCAGAAATTATAATAATGGCTCCACAGTGCATGCTGGGAGAAAGTTCCCTCAGTATTGCAGGTGATACAAGTACATGCTGGGACATTACAGTATTATTCCCTCTGGTCTAAATTTCAGATCCCAACAAATATCAGAAAGCACGAAATTCTCAAAACAAAGACTACTGTACCTTTAACTCCATTGTAGCTGCAGTTCTTCTGTGTGTTTTGTACTTTTCTCTCAGTATTTACGGTATGTACCACATTTACTCAGGCGGCATCCGTTGCTTAGGCGTTGTAATTCCAATGTACCACGATCGAAACCCACTGCTGGACTGCGCAGATTTTTATCATGTTATGGGGCATCGCAGGTCGACCCAGCCTAAAATGGGTACCAGGATGACAGTCCTGGTAAAGTAAAGACCGCCGGCGTAATGCTGACCACATTACCCACCAAATGCCGATGGTCTGTTACAATATGGGCACTGTTCCCATATACTTGAAACGCCTTTAGGCATGAAAAATAATCTTTACTTTTTTTTTTTAAACCTTTTTTTTTTCAACTTTTACAATATTTACTCACCTGGCGCTGGCAAATTCAAATGCTGATCCAGGAGCTGGGGGAGTGTGCTTGAGAGTGGGGGGGGGGGGGGGGGGGAGCAGCTAAGGGAACCAAGTGTGGAAAGGACAATGTTTAGAGTGGAAGCTTTGGGGAAATAGGTTGGGGGAGGGGTTATCAGACCAAAGTCAGCTGTACGGTCAATAGCAAGGGGAGGCAGGGAGATAGCTGCATGCATTTATTTATTTAATTCCAACATGCCATGTATAAGATGACTCAAGTTTTAAACTCTATAATTTAGGATAACGATCTGGTCAATAACCTTGGTCAAATGATTTAAATGACTCTGGTCAAATGATATAAATTACTATAATCAAATTATATAAATGACTATTATCAAATAATATAACAATACCATGGTCAAATGATATAAATTACTATAATCAAATTATATAAATGACTATTATCAAATAATATAACAATACCATGGTCAAATGATATAAATTACTATAATCAAATTATATAAATGACTTTTATCAAATAATATAACAATACCATGGTCAAATGATATAATGACTTTCATCAAGTGACATAAATGATTCTGAATGATATAAATGACCCATATCAAGTGATAAAAGTGACTATGATCAAGTAATATAAGTGACTATGATCAAGTGATATAAGTGACCAAGATCAAATGATTTAAGTGACCATTATGAAATGATATAAGTGACCATGATCAAAGTGACAGAAGTGACCATAATAAAATGATATAAGTGACCATAATCAAATGATATAAGTGACCATGATCAAATGATATAAGTGACCATAATCAAATGATATAAGTGACCATGATAAAATGACATAAATGATCATGATCAAATGATATAAGTAACTATGATCAAGTGATATAAGTGACCATAATAAAATGATATAAATGACGATAATCAAATGATTGATATTAATGACCATGATCAAACAATATAAATGACCATGATCAAGTGATATAAATGACCATGATCAAATGACCGATATTAATTACCATGATCAAATGAAATAAATGACCAAGATCAAGTGATATAAATGACCATAATCAAGTGATATAAATGACCAAGATCAAGTGATATAAATGACTATGATCAAATGATATAAATGATCATGATCAAGTGATAAGAATGACTATTATCAAATGATATAAATGACCACGATCAAGTGATATGAATGACTATTATCAAATGATTTAAATGACCATGATCAAGTGATATGAATGACTATTATCAAATGATATAAATATATGCTACCATCGTTCCCGTCAATAAACCAGTTGCTTATATAATATAAATATTACATGGTACACCAATGAAACTAAACTCTTCCTATTCCAAGGAATGCAACAGGTATAATGAATAAATTAATGTTTTTTTGTATTAGACAATTCACAACATGTTAAAATACTGTCTACATTTAGCCTCAGCATGTGAAAGAAATCTGGCTAAATGTTGTTTCTATGCTAGTTTTTCAGCTGTGGCTGCTGTCCTGATTGGATGCTGAATGTGGGAAAACTAACTCTGTTCTAGTCAACTACTCCTGCCCTGAATGATTGTCTTGGATCCTATTTCCGCAAAGTTATAATAACTACCATTAAGTAAAGCAGTAGGGAACCCTTCAAAATCACCTGTCAATACAAATGAATCTGTCAGCTGAGATTTCAAAAAGGGCAATAGAGACTGTGCAACAAATTCACTGAGAAGGCTTCCAGTCTAAAATGGAGGACTAGGCAAGGCAGAATGTTAAACTTTGAAGTTATTTTTGCTTTCAACAGCACTTTGCTAATGCAGTTTCCACATGTGGATGGTAGTCTACAGTTTTGCTGCCTCAGCTACTGAGTTTAATGCTTGGTGCAGTGCTGTGAGCGGTGTTCTTGTTTTTCCCACATAGAATGCCTTTTAATTGTGCAACGGTTGAATCACTGTATTCAATATGGCTGGCAGTCAGTTTACATGTGGGCTGGGGAAATTCCTTATGTATAATAATAATTCTATGTGTGTAGAGCCAACATATTATACCCGACTACTTCCATCAATGACAAACTGCATTTCTGGTGGTGACTGTTGGCTCTGGCACTTCTAGCAACTGCCATATGCATTTCCTGTGTGGGCATATTTCTAGAATTTGCCGGTAAAATTGTTAGTACACCAGTTTTGAAACTGGGCAATGAGGGACATATTATTTGATTTTCACTGGTACAGGAACAAAGAAAATGGGGGGTAACCCAGTTGCAGCGAAGTTGAAACCTTGACTAAGACTAATTCACTGAGAGACAGAAGGTCAAATGGTTTGGTCATCTATTAAGACTCAAGCCAGAACTACTACCAACGCAGGTGCTTCACATGAACAGATCTGATGTGAAAGCAACAGGTCATCCCAGGAGTTTACGGATTGATGACATTAAAGAGTTTTATATCAACTCTGAATGACAATAGTCATTCCTGTCCATCTAGCAGTGGATCACAAACTGTTCTTACCCACGACGCTTGAAGGCAAAAGTGGAAATTGATGATGATAATGACGATGATGAATCGAGATATTCAATAAATTACCATCACAAAGTTTCAAAATACTGATTTAAAAAAATAAAATAAAACACACACAAATAAATTAAAATTTTTAGCCGGCCAAGATAAAATGCAAAAGTAAGAGAACACATTATACAATGGTTGGAACTGATTCCTAACAAAAACCAATGACACATCATATGTTGTCTGGGACTGTTGGAATTGATTTCTGACAAATGCCAATGACACAAAATATGTTGTTTGGGATGTTGGAACTGCTTTCTGACAAACTTCAATGACAAAATATGTTGTTTGGGACTGTTGGAACTGATTTCTGATAAAAACCAACTACACAACATATGTTGTTTGGCATGTTGGAACTGATTTCTGTTGAATACAAATGACACATTATGTGTTGTTTGGGACTGTTGGAACTGATTTTTGACAAAAATCAATGACACATCATGTGTTGTTTGGGACTGTTGGAACTGGTCTGTTTTTCAAAAACCAATGACACATGGTGTGTTGTTTGGGACTGTTTAAACTGATTACTGACAAAAACTGATGACATATCATATGCTGTCTTGGACAGTAAAAGTTCTCTGCTTTCCTATCACAGCTCTGATACCACACTGACAACTCTGAACTTTGTCCTCTTGTCAGTAGTAAACCTACATGCTTCACATGTATGTAAACATCTCTTTCAAAACCAACATATCTTTCACCATCATCTTGTTATGTTATTATATATCACACAAGGCTCACAGTTTATTCGTCCATTCCATTCTATCCTGAGCAATTACTTCAATATCACTGATAGAATCCTGCCCAGCACCTTTGGCCTCTCTCACCAACCTTCATCTTAGGGTTTCTTTTAGACATACTCATTAACAATCTTTCTTTCTCAGTATGGTATAAATACTGCTTAAACATTTGATTCTAGCATCTGCAAATGCAAACAAACCACACTTCTCTTTAAATTTCAGTATAATTCACTATTTCATGTTCCCTGAACAAAGATAATACTGACTTTTCAGTCCCAAGAACGTTATCAAACGTTCTGTACCAACCCTTGGGCCACTGATGCTAAACCCCCTGGGACTGATAGAGTCAAGAAGTCAGATTTAAAAAAAAAGCTGAAAATTCAATACTGTAGTAACTGTTATGATATTTTACTCATAATAATTTTGATGTCATTCTAGAAGACGTCATATTAGAAGATGTCATTCTAGTAGATATGATTATTAAACTTTAGGTAGGTATTTATCTTCTGCTGCCTTCAGTTCATCATCTTTGGTCAACCGAAAAAGTTCTTTAACTGTCGCAATCTGAAAAGAAAAATACAAAAATATTAAGAAATTGTCTTTCAATAAATGGATGTAAGTCATCGACTATTTCTAAACTGTCCTCACTGTCTGCATGTTTGGTGGTGGTGTACCCAGGAGGGGCTTCAGTCTGAGGATCAATGGATGCATGCCTAGGGCAGTCTGGTGTTTCTTCTTCTTCTGTTCATTTGTCCAAGTGACATAAGTGCGTTCCACTTGTTTACAACAGAGCTGAGATATTCGCACCTTTCAGCTGACACATCCGCTCAATCAAGCATTCTTTAACTGGGTTAACTTCCCGGATAGTTTCGAGGGACACGACATTGCCTTGTTTGTGTGGTGTTCTCTTTGTCCCCTTATCTACAGGTGTTGCCTCTGAGAAACTGTCAGCCTCAAGGAAAGGCAGGAGCAGTTCATGGGTTTTCCCCACCATCCAAGAAGGCTTCCATAAATGCAGAGCCGACACATGATGCTCTGGTCTTGAGCATGCCCAAGGACATCATGACATCTTGCACACGACTGCTTAACCTCACACACATATGTCAAGCATTCGACTTGCCAGGGTTGCACCCTCCAGAGATCAGCAGGGAACAGTTGGCAAGTCCCGAATTTCCATGACCACACAAACAAGCCCATTATTCTTTAGCACATTAGACACCCAAACATTGTTTTATCTGGATACTTAGCACAACAGTATGGGAATAGTCATGCATCCAGCATTTCTTCCCCTATTTGGCTGGCGTTTTATTTTTGCTCCCAACAGAGAAAATGTCCATCATCTGACCAAGAATTCCCAAATTAATAAAGACATATGGACTCCCTCTTAAAAAAAAAGGTTTGCCATGCTTGTTAATGATTATACTAATGAATTTATTACAATATATAAATATCAGAGTCGAAAAGAGAATTACATATTAACTGTCTCATTGTGAGACATAAAATAAGAGACATGTGATATAAATTTTGGTTGAAATTATGTTTTAACGCAGTATTCCTGTTCAACCCCAATCAGGACATCACACTGAATGATCCTTTCACAGAGTGTCGACTAAGACCATCGGAAAACACATATTCACTGAAGTTTTGAAGTAGCAACAAGAATAATTTTAGGGTTGGGAGTCATCACAACTTGAGGAACCGTAATAAAGGGCTGCAGCATCAGGAAGGTTAAGAACCACTGGTCTAATATACTCTTTATGTCAGTTACAAAATACCATAGCTCAATATGATAAACACAAATCCTAAACAGAAATAGGACCTTTACCTTTGGTTCAACTCCGGCAGTACTTTGTTCCTTGAAGATCTGAGCAGTTACCTCTTGCATTGCTTTGACTGATGCCCTAATGGAGTGATTGGCCCATATAGCTAAGGAAACCTTCTGATCTCTCCACACTTGCATGGGTGTTTTGTAGTAGGTAGTTGGTACCAAAACAACTGGTCCCTGAAAAGAAAGATTTAGACTGAGCGAGGAAAGATTTATCTCCTTATCCTCTTTACCATTCATCGGTTTTAAACTTCAGCAGAGAGTTCTGGTTGTTGGCCCACGTCAGGTAGACTTAGAGAGAAACCTCACTAATTGGTCATCTTTTACAATACAGTTGTTTGTTTGTGGATGGGGGGTAGGAGGAAGGGGCAGTGGGTCTTTTCTTTTTTCCTCCCAGTATGAAGCTTTTGAACCCAACAGGAGAAGACTTAATGTAATTAATTCTGCAGCAGCATTCAGTGAAAGCTGCAAAACCACTAAAGAATTGAAAGTTGTGTGCATATGAAAACATGCCTAAGAATGTTAAACGCTGAATTAAGAATTGACATCACAGCACTTCAGCCACTCCCATAAGCGCTCCGTCCCCATCTTCAGCAGCAAGCGAAGAGTTAAAATTCCAATGGTATAAGTAACTGTCTGATTGTATATCTGTCTCGCCTTCTCCCTGAGCATCAAGCGTTAGCCAGATCCCCTTTAACTCCTGGCAGTGTCTTTCTCCTCAGACCGTAATGATTTTTCCGTTCCTCGGCACTGTTCACTCCCTCCCAAAGGGTCCTCACAACATCCAGCTTGTCATACATCAGTTCACCACCAAGTGGTGCAGAACCAGCAGTCTATCTGCCTGCTCACTTCTAAACACACCGGCATGACCTGGAGACAATAGCCACAAGATGCTAACTACCCGGGACCTCTGAAATGATGCTTGCCACTATGCACGGAGCATGCCTGTCTCCACTTTTCTCAACATGCTCTGTGAGTCAGTTACAATGACGGCATGTGTCTACAGCTGATTCTCAAGCCAGCGGAATGCAGCAGTGACTGCCTCCACCTCCATTCTCAAACTAGACGTTGTGATATCATATGCCAGGCTTTGTTGTACCAAGCGACATTCATTCGCCTTCACAATGAACTCCCATGCACTTCGTCTGCCCCTCACCAGCTGACCAGTCCCTGCATTCACGTCCCAAAGCGAATAGAACCCTACACAAATCTGAAACCTGATCGGACACACTGACACACTCCTCCCCTCGCCTAAATTTATCAAGCCTGCACACATGTCCATTTGTACCATCCAAGACTTTTCTCTTTTCAGCCTGTGACCCCTAGCTCTATCCAGGGCTTCATACAGGAGGTACCTTTTCAGCCTGTGACCCGTAGCTCTATCCAGGGCTTCATGCAGGAGGTACCTTTTCAGCCTGTGACCCGTAGCTCTATCCAGGGCTTCATGCAGGAGGTACCTTTTCAGCCTGTGACACGTAGCTCTATCCAGGGCTTCATGCAGGAGGTACCTTTTCAGCCTGTGACCCGTAGCTCTATCCAGGGCTTCATGCAGGAGGTACCTTTTCAGCCTGTGACACGTAGCTCTATCCAGGGCTTCATGCAGGAGGTACCTTTTCAGCCTGTGACCCGTAGCTCTGTCCATGGCTTCATGCAGGAGGTATCTTTTCAGCCTGTGACCCGTAGCTCTATCCAGGGCTTCATGCAGGAGGTACCTTTTCAGCCTGTGACCCGTAGCTCTATCCAGGGCTTCATGCAGGAGGTACCTTTTCTGCCTGTGACCCGTAGCTCTATCCAGGGCTTCATACAGCAGGTACCTTCTCTGCCTGTGACCCGTAGCTCTATCCAGGGCTTCATACAGCAGGTACCTTCTCTGCCTGTGACCCGTAGCTCTATCCAGGGCTTCATACAGCAGGTACCTTCTCTGCCTGTGACCCGTAGCTCTATCCAGGGCTTCATGAAGCAGGTACCTTCTCTGCCTAAGGAAACTGATAAAGATAATTTAAAAAAACATAAAAAAAAGGTCCTTTTTCCACACCTTTAGGCGTATAGAGCATATAGGGCTAGACTTTTATTTTCATAGACCAATTGGCACAAGATGGGTGATGTGGTCAGTATCACGCCGGCCGCCTTTACTTCCTGGGACTGCACCTAGTACTCACTCAAGGCTGGGTCAACCTGGAAGTTGTCATTTTCTAAAAAGCCGGCTCAGCCAGGAAACCAATGCATGACCTTCTGATCCGGCTTCTATGCCACGGCGACTCCCCTTGATGAACATTAAATGGTATGAATTCAAGAAAAGCTAAAAATATTATAAATATCTGGACACAACCACTAAAATCAACAGCCATAAGACAGAAAATGGGGCACTGAATTAGACAGAACAGAAGCAGAGGTGAACACCAGACACTCAAATTGAAAATAACGACACTCAAATGGGAAATAAATGGACTAAACAGGACATCCAAAAGAAACTCTATGGAATGGAAAAGACGCAGATAAACACAGCCGAACATTTTGACCAAACGTTTGGTTGTGTTCTTCTGCATATTTTCCATTCCTTCCGTTGAGCTTTCTAGTCAATTTTTGTGTTGTATTCAGCACTTCTTGCAATCAGCTCGACTGCAGTCGCCCCCCTATTTATGTCATCACTTTAGATGTTTATCTTATGTTTCAGGAAGTAAAACATTCATCATCATCAGGTGCCTTGCCGACTGGCGTGGGCGATCATGCCTCTCCATAATCTGCGATCTCCTGCAGCATGTATCAGTTTGTGTGCTGACACACCTCCATGTCATGCAACAAGACTGTCAAGCATCTTCTCTCGTTGTCTTCCTCTATACCTCCTTCCACAGATCTTTCCAGTGGTCACAACATGTTCTATTTTCCCTCTTCTCATAACATGGTCGAAAAATGGTGACTGTCTCCTTCTGAAGTCTGTGATAAGTTGTCTTCGGGCTCCTGCCTCTTTCAAAACCTTTTGGTTGCTCTTTTTGGCTGTCCATGGTATTCTAAGCATTCTTCTGTAAAACCACATCTCTGAGGCCTCTAGAAATTATTTGGCCTGCCCACTGATTGTCCAGGATTCACAGCCATATGTTAAAACTAGATGTATGTAGCAAGCAAGAATTCTTTTTCTAACTCTCAATGACAAGGATATATTGCACAAGATGTTTTTCATTTTATAAAATGAAGTTTTTGCCTGTCCTATTTTATTTCTTATCTCAGTTATGCATCTTCCATCTGATGTTATCCATGTGCCCAGATACTTAAATTTATGTACTTGTCCTAAAATAACACCATCAACTTTTATTACACATTTAGGAATAATTCGTTTCTTTGATACCACCATTACTTCTGTCTTCCCATTATTCAAACTGAGGCCCATTCTTCCACTTTCTAACACCACAATGTCTATCATTTCCTGTAGTAAAACATTACCATGTCTGAAAGGGATCAAGTAATAGCCCTTAACAACAAAATGAGCTACTGAACAAAGGGTTCATGCAACAGCTGGAAGAAAAATAAAAATATCCATGAATATCAATGATTTGGTCCTATGCCATCAATACGTGGGCAACATTTTAATAACAACGTCTGACAAACAGCTGCGTTCAGTGTCATCATGAACCAGACACACAAAAACATCTCATTATCTCTCATGAAGAAAAATACTCTGCCATTCCTTGATGTGTTGATTAGACGTAGAGAGCATGGTACTGCACAAAGATCAATGTACCGTAAAGATACATGGACTGGCCTGTACTTAAACTTTCAGTTTTCTTCTAATTCAATTTAAACATGGCCCAGTAAGAAGCTTGTTTAACCATGCATCATGAGAGATAATAGACTGAAATGGTTGAGGCATATTGAGAGAATGTAAAATGACCCAGAAGTGAAAACTGTATACATAAGGGAGATTAATGGTCGTAGAACAAGAGGTCGGCTCTGTGGCTAAGTCGATGCGAACACTTCGCTTCGTAATGCCGGGATGCCGGGTCAGATTCTAGCTGCGGGCAATGCGCCTTGCGTTGGTTTCGACAGTGGTATCAAGAAAGCCAACCATTCAGCAAGCAATGGCAAACTACTGGACTAGAGAAACCAGACAACAGCCAGGGGCTGTTAGGGTTGGTTCTGCAACGTCCTGTAAAGGATACGCAACAACCTTTTTAAGAACAAGAGGCAGACCAAGAAGACGATGGAGAGATAATGTGCAAACACTTGGTGTCACCAACTGGAAAGAGAAGACCAACCGGAGAGATGAATAGAGGCGGGTGATATCTACAGCAATGAACCTCATAGGCTCGGAATGCTAAAGAAGAAGAAGAAAAATTTGTACTGAAGATACACTGGCAGCAGAAAGTGAAACCATCAAGGCAACTTGACATCTACATGGGTACCCAGCAGGCTTCATCAAATGCCACAGTATCCCACCTAATTCAACCCCCAGACAAATTACAGCTCCAAAACAGTAAGAAGTCATCTAACTCACATTTCGAGGAGACAATATCATGCAATGTCTGCAAGACCGAGTAAAACAGCTATCAGGACAGGACATCATTTCCTTAACGCTGGAAACCTTGTTGATAAAGACTGTGCTTTCAGGTTTATTTACCACACTGAATAGATATTTGCTTAAAGTGATCGAGGATGTATCAATAAAATTCTACTCTCCTATGTTATGTGAACAGAAAGATTATGTGATTGAAAATAGCATGGTAATTATATAAATTATTAAAACTAACCCCAAGCCTAACCCTACCCATAAGACACCTCTTACGACAAGCCTGGTAGGGTGCATGGTTACTAGTCTTTGGTTTCGGTGAGGGCCCCGGTGACACACGGGTGACATTTAATGCTACACTGCCTTAATTTTTTCCTGATTATTATCTTCAAAGATCTTTACTTATTTAAAAAAAAAAAAAAATAGATAAGTACATTTTTAGGAATTTATTAGTGATCTGTGTTTTTGTTGAAGTTTTTTTTTCTGGAAATCCAACGGGGTCATGCCCTTTTTTTTTCTTAAGTGTATGCAGGGCAAAAGGTTTAAGAGTTCAATCAAGAGTTGAGAAAAGTGTTTAGAATTCTATCAAAGAAAGTGGCTCACCTTATTCTGCCAAGCTTTTAAGAAATCAAGAATTTCAGTTGGCTCTTTTAACTTGCTGTGCATAAGTACCGCCGTAGCTCCTGCCTCCAGGTACGCGTCAGCTCGCTTGAGTGCCTCATCTACACCCCAGCCTGCTATCAAAGCCTCAACACGGGCAACAATGTTGAAATCTGGGTCTCTTTGTGTGTCTTTCATGGCCTAGTTAAATGTACAATGATTATACAGAAATACAGATCTGTGTCTCTTTCATGGCCTAGTTAAATGTACAATGATTATACAGAAATACAGATCTGTGTCTCTTTCATGGCCTAGTTAAATGTACAATGATTATACAGAAATACAGATCTGTGTCTCTTTCATGGACTAGTTGAATGTACAAGGATTATACTGAAATACAGATCTGTATCTCTTTCATGGACTAGAATGTACAAGGATTATAGTGAAATACAGATCTGTGTCTCTTTCATGGCCTAGTTGAATGTACAATGATTTTACAGAAATACAGATCTGTGTCTCTTTCATGGACTAGTTGAATGTACAAGGATTATAGTGAAATACAGATCTGTGTCTCTTTCATGGACTAGTTGAATGTACAAGGATTATAGTGAAATACAGATCTGTGTCTCTTTCATGGACTAGAATGTACAAGGATTATAGTGAAATACAGATCTGTGTCTCTTTCATGGACTAGAATGTACAAGGATTATAATGAAATACAGATCTGTGTCTCTTTCATGGACTAGAATGTACAAGGATTATAGTGAAATATAGATCTAACTGTGGCTCTTTCATGGAATAGTTGAATGTACAATGACTGTACTGAAATATAGATCTATCTGTGTCTTTTTTATGCCCTAGTTGAATGTAAAATGATTATACTGAAATACAGATCTGTGCTTCTCTTTTATGACTAAAGTAAAAAAAAAAAAAAGTTAATGACCCTTTTCCACACCTTTAGGCGTATAGGGCATATAGGGGTAGACCTAAATTTTATAGACCCATTGGCACAAGATGGGTGATGAGGTCAGCATCATACTGGCCACCTTTACTTCCCGGGAATAAACCCGGTACCCACTCAAAGCTGGGTCGACATTGGAGTCAAGGTCATTTTTTAAAAAAAATGTCCGGCTCCGCCAGGGAGCGAACCCACAACGAGCCTCTAAGGCGACTCTTGTATGACCTAGTCGAATGCAAAATGATTATAGTGAAATACGGATCTGTGTATCATTAACAAACAGGATTAACTTAATATATGCTAATATGGTTCATGTAATCAGAGATCTCAACTAATTATGAACTGATCAAAATTATCACAGACTTTAACATTTCTGATGTTTCTCTTTTCCTTTTCTGTATAGAGGCTGAATAGGTAGCTGTGGTAGCATAGTTGCTAGATGCTCGCCTGCTGGCCTGAAGGTCTAAGGTTTGAATCTGCATCAAGATGGATTTTAAAAAATCAAAATTGACCTTAGCTCTCCAGCTGATCCAGCCCTAGCTGGCTACCAGGTAATGTCCAGGTAAACACAAACAACATCATGTTGACCACATCATTGTGGAGTGCCACCAAAAATGGGTTCTTTACTTTTACCTGTATAAAAAACTTGAGATTCTGTTTAAGTGGTGAGTAAATGTAAAGTAAAGGACCCTTTTCCACGCCTTTAGAAGTATTGGGCATATAGGGCTAGACCTATATTTTATAGACGAATCGGCACTTGGTGGGTGACGTGGTCAACATCATGCCAGCCACCTTTACTTCCCAGGACTGTACCCATTCAAAGCTGGGTTGACCTGGAAGACAAGATCATTTTTTTTAGATCCGGCTCCGTCAAAACCAGAACCCACGACCTTCTGATCCACAGGCAAGCGTCTAACCGCTGCACCACGGTGGCCTGTGTGGGAGTAGCAGGTCTTCGTTTATTTAAGGCCTTGATATATGTGGTGGGGAGGTCAGTCTCTAATGCTGTTGTCTTTTCTTCTCAGAAAATTTCCTAAAATTTTGTAACACCTGCCTGGCAACCATTTTTAGGAAGTCCACTCTTCTTCAACATTCTCAGCTCTTGAGGTTCCCTGCTGCAGATATCACCCATCTCCATTTATCTCTGTGAATGGCCTTCTCTTCCCAGTTACTGACTTCAAGTATTTGTAGGTCTGCCAGTAAATTATCTCTCTACTGTCTTCTCGGGCTTTCTTGTGGTCTACTTATATTTGGCTCTCATGTGTAAGCAGTGTTTGTCTTTGTTATCTGCCATTCTTTCTGAATACCCCAGCCATTGCAGTATATTAGCCCTCATGATGCTAGTAATTAGCACTGATTTAAACAGATTATGACTTTTGTTGTTGAGTCTTACTGTCCATTCTCAACTGTTTACATCTCTGATGAATCCAAAGATATGTCATAAGACTGTTCTCAAAATAATGTAACAAGCTGTACTAATAATAATATCAAATAATGCAATAGTTTTCAGAGCCCTATACTAATTGGGGGGGAAAAATTCCTCCACTGGGCTCCGAACCTAAACCAACTGGATTGTGAGGCAAGCGCACTAATCACAGTGTCAGTGTCTCCAGTTTGTCTGGCATTTCCCCAACTGTTCCTTTCTATGCTCTGTGGCACTGGTCCTTATTTTGTCTCTGCAACTTTTTATCAGGTGTAGTGCCATTTAAACTACCACAATAATATCCCCCAAGAAACTCATAACAAAAGCAAAAATGAAACTTAAAAGATCTGATGGTGAGGAACCCAGGCTAGGCAAATCACAAACATGAACTGAGGGAGTGAACAATGACAATGCAAGTAAGGGCAAATCACAAACATGAACTGAGGGAGTGAACGATGACAATGCAAGTAAGGGCAAATCACAAACATGAACTGAGGGAGTGAACGATGACAAGGCAAGTAAGGGCAAATCACAAACATGAACTGGGGGAGTGAACAATGACAAGGCAAGTAAGGGCAAATCACAAACATGAACTGAGGGAGTGAACGATGACAAGGCAAGTAAGGGCAAATCACAAACATGAACTGAGGGAGTGAACGATGACAATGCAAGTAAGGGCAAATCACAAACATTGAACTGAGGGAGTGAACGATGACAATGCAAGTAAGGGCAAATCACAAACATGAACTGAGGGAGTGAACGATGACAAGGCAAGTAAGGGCAAATCACAAACATGAACTGAGGGAGTGAACGATGACAATGCAAGTAAGGGCAAATCACAAACATGAACTGGGGGAGTGAACGATGACAAGGCAAGTAAGGGCAAATCACAAACATGAACTGAGGGAGTGAACGATGACAATGCAAGTAAGGGCAAATCACAAACATGAACTGAGGGAGTGAACGATGACAAGGCAAGTAAGGGTGAATCACAAACATGAACTGAGGGAGTGAACGATGACAAGGCAAGTAAGGGCAAATCACAAACATGAACTGGGGGAGTGAATGATGACAATGCAAGTAAGGGCAAATCACAAACATGAACTGAGGGAGTGAACGACGACAATGCAAGTAAGGGCAAATCACAAACATGAACTGAGGGAGTGAACGACGACAATGCAAGTAAGGGCAAATCACAAACATGAAATGGGGGGGTGAACGATGACAATGCAAGTAAGGGCAAATCACAAACATGAACTGAGGGAGTGAACGACGACAATGCAAGTAAGGGCAAATCACAAACATGAACTGAGGGAGTGAACGACGACAATGCAAGTAAGGGCAAATCACAAACATGAACTGAGGGAGTGAATGATGACAATGCAAGTAAGGGCAAATCACAAACATGAACTGGGGGAGTGAACGACGACAATGCAAGTAAGGGCAAATCACAAACACGAACTGGGGGAGTGAATGATGACAATGCAAGTAAGGGCAAATCACAAACATGAACTGAGGGAGTGAACGACGACAATGCAAGTAAGGGCAAATCACAAACATAAACTGGGGGAGTGAAAGACGACAATGCAAGTAAGGGCTAATCACAAACACGAACTGAGGGAGTGAATGATGACAATGCAAGTAAGGGCAAATCACAAACATGAACTGAGGGAGTGAATGATGACAAGGCAAGTAAGGGCAAATCAAAAACATGAACTGGGGAAGTGAACGATGACAAGGCAAGTAAGGGCAAATTAAAAACATGAACTGGGGGAGTGAACGATGACAAGGCAAGTAAGGGTAGCGGAGAGCAAAATTAAAAAAATAGCAGAAGGCATGATACCAGGGCAGAGGGGCAGGGGCTAACCAGCACAAAGGTGGGCACATGATATACTTGAGGCTTTGGGTAGAAAAGTGCACAAGGCAGGAAATGGCAAAAGACAGAGTTTCTTTCAGGCAGACTAATGACAGCACATCCTGCAAAGGACCTACTACACGATGATGTTGCTGATAATGATTGTAATAATTTCTGATACAGATGTTTTTCTATGCTCCAGTCATACTCACTGTCAGTGCGTACCATTTTGGGATGTAAAAAAGACACTGTGTGTGTAGCAATGAGATATCTACTTGACTTTCCAATTATGAACCAAAGGATCAGGTTTTGGAGGGCTTAAGCTTACCTTAAAAAATGTACTGATAAGAAACACCCATTGCATCAGGCGCTTTTCTGTGAAAAGGGTGACTAGACTGAAGAGGGGAAAATCATGGCTGGGTCAAGCAGAAGAAGTTATCAAGCATAGGAAGGGTGGAGAACTTTGGAGGCAGTAAATCCACATCACTCACCTGAATGATAGACTTGGGAGTTAAGATCTGCATGGCAAAAAACAAAACGCACACCAGGCACATCAGAGGACTCGTTAATGAACATAGAATTGGTACCATTAGCCATTTGATGCTTGGGTTCATGCTGAAAGGAGGACCTGAGCACATATGGACATGTCTGAAGTGCAATGATGATAACCCAACTAACAGATGTTTCTTCATGCTATGACGCTAAATTCTCTCTCTCTCTCTCTTTCTATTTTTTTTTTAAACTTCTGTCTCATCCTTAACTTCTATTCCCAGCACACATTTGTCTGTTGTCACAATGCACCCCCAGCTATTTCTGCCTAGGGGAATACCCCGTGTCCTTAAAGTCACAGTGCACCACAAAGCGCCATCACATAGGAATGTGCATCATGACTTTACGGACACATGGTATATTATTCAACTAATATATGGTTTCAACTCTCACAGTACCTGAATTTTCAATGCAAATTCTTTAATATCAGCCAGTGGTTGTGCTCGGCCATCCAGAAGGGAATTTGTTTTCGGAAAAAGTTTGTCTTCTACAGCAGCACCTAAAAGATAAAACATGTTTGATAAATTCCTGAGAGGAAACAGGTTTTTTTTTTAAATTCCTGACTGAAATTTTTTTATAAATTCCTGACTTGACACAAAATATTTTATAAATTCCTGACTGACACAACATATTTTATACATCATTGACTGACACAAAATATTTTATAAATTCTTGACTGACACAACATATTTTATAAATTCCTGACTGATAAAACATATTTTATAAATTCCCAAAAGAAAAAGATTCTTTTTCTAAATTCCTGAGAGATAAAACGTGTCTTTTAAAATCTTTAAAGATAAAACATATTATCTAAATTCAAGAAAGATAAAATAGACAAGAGTCATCAGTCATTGGCAACACTAAGTAGATATAACTCACTGGTTATAATGCCTGCTTACAACTTAAAAAGTGCTGTGTGGAAATCCTAATGATACGTATGTATGCATGTGTGTGTGCATATGTGCTTATTAATGTATGCACTTGCCACCAATGCCTTTGTGTTTTTTACTTATAACGCTCATCTTGTGTTTTACTATATGAAGGCAAAATACTTTAAAGATACAAATGCAACTGTTGTATAAAAGATGAGTATTTATAAGGGCTGAATGTAAGACGGGCCTGAGTGCCCAATTTGTGACTATATAAAAGTAAAATTCTTTCACAAATGTTTCAATCCAAACTGCCATCAACTCATGCACACATATACACACCCTAATCTCTTGATGGTGAATCAATACCAAATCTCCTAAAACAAATGCACTCAAATATACCATCATCACATAGGATAGGTCCTTTTAGCTTCTTCTTCTTTTCTCTACTCCTCAATGCCTTGCAGAGTCAGGGCAGAAAGAGATCTCTGATTTTGTTTGTTTCGTACATAGTACTTTTCAGTGTCTTTGATTTTTCTGCGGTCCATCTTCTGCATGTCGACCTCTGACTCTGTTACCTTTGTATCTGTATAACACTGTTCTTTGTGATGCCCAGACTGGTGCCAATCTTGTTACATGGCCAAAACCATTTGATCTGTTGTCTACCAATAAAGTTGTCCTTTCAGCAAAGCTCTATTCACATTTGTATGACATGCATTTTAGGGAAGGGCTCTTTCCACATGGGAAAGACAAAATAGAACCAGATCCTTCTATTTATATCAAATTGGACATCAGGGAAATCAGAAACAAACAGCCAACACAGCACACACATACCAGCAATGCCCCTGTCCTCCAGCTTGCGCACCAAACGACGAGCATTGTTAAAGTTTCCATATCCGGTGTCAGCGTCCACCAGGATTGGCACAGTACAGGCATCATTCATGAACTCTAACACTTCCAGAACTTGAGTCCATGATGCCTCGTTGCTGTCCCGGACTCCCAGCTGGGTTGCAATGGAAAGACCACTAGCCCAGACAGCTTGAAATCCTGCAGATATTTTAAATTAACATACAATAATGGTCTTATTTAATCAGTGTTTATCTCCAGTTTTTTTAAAAAGTGGTTTAATTATGGTGGTCTGGAGAGACGGGTGATGGAGAATATAGTTTCAGGAAAAAAAGCAGAGGCAGACCTCCGCAAATATGGATACAGGACACTGAAGATGCATTTGCTCTGAAAGCACACATGGCTGTAGAACTGGTAACAGAAAGAGAGACTTTCAGGCGTGCCGTGACGAGAACGATGTTCTGTAAAAGATCTGCTGATGATGATGATGAATTCTGTCTTTATTATTCTAACTGGTTCCCCCCTAATCAGCATCTGTTGCTACGGGGTTGTGAACAGTTCTGCAATCCCAATATACAAGGGTTTGAAATCAGCTACAGGAAATTCGGTAGCTGGCCACTCTGTGTTGATTTTGAGCTCCATACATTTGTTTCAAAAGAAAATGCAAATTATGGAACAATAAATAATTTCCTACTCGTATGGGTTATGGGGCCCCATCATGGGGGTGGGGGAATAACAAGCATGTCGTGAGAGTCAACAATTAATTAGGTGTGACCTTTGAAGTCGCAGTGCATCTGCCTGAGAGGCAAGGAACTAACAGTCTACATACAAAAAGTTAAATTACGAGGGAAAATTACTAGAAGTCCACATGAAAAAATCCCAGCCTTCACTGGGGAATGACCATTCAGCCCCCGAAAGTTAAAGATTGCTGAATTCTGCTTGGCAGAAAGGTACAGATATCACAGCCTAAGTTTGCATGACAACACAACCTGCCAAATATTCTGTTAACTCTTTATATACCTGTTAATTTCTCAGGATATTCCCAAGGGTAACAGTCACAGTAAATGCAAACTGTGACAATGACTGTCACAGTTGTAGCAATACATATAACTAGTTGGGGCAGTGAATAACTTGTTAGGTTCCTGCAGTGTGCTTAAGCTAAACATCAAATCACATTGTTGGTTGCTTGGTACATATAGGCTATAGCTTATCATACATGGTGCGCTGGTTGAGACCAAAAGAGTTAAATAAAGCTAACACAGAAAAAATTCTTAATGAAGAAATTGTCACAACTTAATAAAACTAATGACACGAACCTGCTTCCTCTGCGATGCAAGCACTAATGCCGCTGTGAGCTTCCATCATAAATTCCAGCTGTGGAGACAGCAGCATCTGTCGGAGTTTGGTTGATTTCTAGGAAAGATATGACAAGGCTATTTTATTTTACTGTTTACAACAGATCTTCTACCTCTTCTAAGTGTTCAATAGCTATAAACTCCAACACAAAGTTATGGTGGTTGTTTGTCCACTTCTGAACTTTGGTCTTGTTCAAGAACTTAAGGTTTGCATGCCCATCAGTTTTACAGATCTTGCTTACTTGCGTACAGACTGTAGGTTCCTCACCTCTCAGGCAGATATACTCCAACTTTGAGAAAACATCCTTTACCATATTCTTGTTATGATGGCAGTGGGTTTATTTATTTACTTGCCTAAATCCTCAAATATAAAGCTCTGGAATCTACTCTGGGAAACATGTCAGTCCAAAGTAATAAACGAAACAACGTTAAAAAGGTCACATGATTTAGGCAAATGGGGTGGGGTGGGGTGGTTGGGGGGGGGGGGGGGGGGGGGGGGGGGGGGGGGGGGGGGGGGGGGGGGGGGGGGGGGATTGGTTCTGCAGTGACTAGCACACCTGCCAAATGGCTGTAGGTACAGGTTTGAGTCCTCTACTGAGATCAGTTTTTAAAATGTCTCTTGCAACAAAAGGTTAACATAGCCTAAAATTAAAATATCTTAGGAACTAAAAGCAGCTGGTACAATGCTGTCTTAATCACATCATCTACCAAGTGCCAAAAGGTCTATGAAAATGGGGCTAGCCTCATATGTCCAATCATTTTCAAGTCCACAGAAATAGAGATTCTACTTTCAGTTCTTTACAAACAGTAAAGCATTGTTAACACTGCCATGCTTAACTCTTTCAGTCCCACAGGGGTTTAGCATCAGAGGCCCAAGGGGTAGTAGTACAGAGAGATGTACAAATGTTGCATCTTGCACTCACTGGGATTATAAATAGGAGCCTACAAACTTTGGGACACAAAGAGTTAGGAAGAACACTCAGTTAACATGAACACAATTGTTTCCACTGCGGGGATGCTAACACTCTGTTAATATGCACACAATTCTGGCCACTGCAGAGATACTATAATGTGAGTCCCTGGTTAGCATGTATTTGTTTTAATACAAACTCAGAACTTAAGATGTGTTCCTTGGGAGTGAAAAAGGTAGGAAGAACACTCAGTTAACATGAAAATAGTTTTGGACCCTGCAGGGATGGTAACACTCAGTTAACATAAACATAGTTTTGCCCCTGCAGAAATGTGAAAACTCAGTTAACATGAACATAATTTTGCCCCTGCGGGGATGCTAACACTCAGTTAACATGAACATAATTTAGGACCCTGCAGGGATGGTAACACTTAGTTAACATGAACATAATTTAGGACCCTACAGGGATGGTAACACTCAGTTAACATGAACATAATTTAGGACCCTACAGGGATGGTAACACTCAGTTAACGTGAACATAATTTTGGACCCTGCAGGGGTGGTAACACTCAGTTAACATGAACATAATTTTGGACCCTGCATAGATAGCTTTGTAAAAGCTACATACATAACTAACTTATTTTTTTTGTCGACACCCCACAACTGAGCCTATTAAAAAGTCGTGACAGTCTTTAGTAGGCACATTCTACAAGGCCGGTCATAAAGTCACAAATATGGCCTTATCTCACACACCTAGATCCCTTGTAGGGGATGTCAAGACAACCAGGTACATGATAACACTGAGGTAACTAGGTCACGTACAGTTGTAATCATTCAGTGGACTCAGCGGATTGCCGGTTACATGTGTCCTCATTGCGAAGTAATTGTAATAAATGACATACGTTTTTGGCCTGTATTTCAGACAAAGCGTGGGCTCACTGTTTCTCATTTCTTCTTTCTTTTCACCTACCGTGAACTCAGGCGTAGTTTTTCTGCAGCTGCAGACTCTTATTATTCTTCCCATTGACCGGCTGTAAACCCCGGCGGAAAGTTCTGCATTACAAACATCATCATGTAGCAGGTCCTTTGCAGAACGTCGCTCTCATCAATCTGCATGAAAGGAACTCTGTCTCTCGCCAGCTCTCCCGCCTCATGTACTTTCATACTCAATGAATCACTTATTTCCTGTGTCCATCTTCGTGTCGGTCGGCCCCTGCCCCTCCTTCCTGGTACCATGCCTTCTGCTATAATTTTTTTCAAATCCGTTGTGGCGATTGATATGATCAAAATACGTTCAGCTTCCGAGACAGGATACTGTTTATTAGCCAATATTCCTTGATGTTCAGATCTTTCAAAATGTCAGTATTTCTTTTCTTCTTACATTACAACCAGCTATATAAAAAAAAAAAAAACCCCTCAAAGTTTGATATGGTGGTTGGAAAAAGGGGGAGAAGAGGCAGAGACGAAGAGGAAGGCTAACCAAAAAAAAAAAAAAAGTGAACTATTTGTGTCTTTATGTTCACCGCCTATAAACTCGGTCTGAAAATCCTGGTTGTTCATCCATGTCTGGACTTGGATTTGTTCCGAGGTCTGTGTTTTGCGAGTGCATCCGTTTTTTACACATGTAACATTTGTTTTATAGCATGCCGACTGTCAGAAACAAATATGCAGACGAGGATATGAAATCAAAAATATATAAATTTTATTTAGCGCTCTCCCACTCCACTAACAAATGCTTTGCACGATAGAAGTAACGTTGGTTATCCTCCGAATAACGGGCACAAAAGATGGCGGCCGCAAAATATCCTAACGAACCTCTGTCACGTGTCAATTGCGCACTTCCGGCGACTTAATTTGTGGTTTTCCGGCCACCGCCAGGAGTCCCACACGCCGCGTGGACTGGGGCTAAGCAGGACTCACAAACAGCAGCTTCCGCATCTCCTGCAGCTTTGCTTGTGAGTCCTAGCCATCTAGTTTTGCCCCATTTCACGCCGCGTGAGCGGCGTTGGGACTCCGGGCGGTGGCGGTAGTCGCTGGAAAACCGCAAATTAAGTCACCGGAAGTGCGCAACTGACACGTGACTGAGGTTCGTTAAGATACTTTGTGGCCGCCATCTTTTGTGTCCGTTATTCGGAGGATAGCCGTAACGTTTATTGAACAGAGTTCTCAGCAACTGTTGACAGGTAGAGAACTGAGCGTCTAAAAAAAAAAGGGGGGGGGGGGGAACACTTCGAATTCACGTGATGACAACAAAAGAAATGCCATACCCTTAACTGCAGAAGACTTCTTTTTCCTCTAATAACTATAAGCATTGGGGGGGGGGGGGGGGGGGGCACTAGATTCAAAACGTACATTCATTCCTCATTTAAAAAAAAAAATATTTATTTATACTTTTGTATGGATCAAAAATATATTTTATTTTCAATTACCCCTCCCCCTCCCATTTTCTTTAAACATCACACCTCCCCCTCCCTCCTTTCTCTGCCATTTTTGTAAAGGGAAATTAATGTGAGCCAAGTCTGTTAAAATCCATGGGTCGAAAAGTGTTAACGCTAGCTCGCCTTGCTAATCCCACTCGCCGCCGGCTGTAACTTTTTATGCCTCCCTACAGTCAAATATAACTCTATCACAAACCGTATCACATGGAAAGACGAAACGGTGTCAACTAACCAACGTCATTAGTAACCAGTAGGGATGCTAGTGAAGTTTTATATTTTCGGTTTTTACTTACGAAACCATGACAGCTAGATAGAGATTTAAATTGCAAATCCAATGGTACCTTATTTACACCTGTAAGTCGATTCTAAGCGAAGATATTAACATTTTAGTGGCGGATACCACAACAGACAAATTATAGTGGAAATCGACAAAACATGGATACCGGGCTGCAACCCAGTAAGATGAAATGACTCAATGCTTGCATTTTACGGCCATAAATATTTTGTTTCTGAACAAATCCCATAGGAACGATATATTACTGGAATCGGGACAGTGGGACCTAACTGTTTTTGCATGTCTCAAATACATACACTACAATATGCGCCTAATTAACATGAAAATGGCCGCAGGCTGATTATTTTTCATCAAAAACCTTATATATACATGTACAGTTGTCTGCCAACGAGCCTGACAAGATGCATATCATATTGTGTGTCCTTATAAGGCGAACATTAAGTTCATACAAATGTGAGTTGATCAGACCTAATTTTACATATACCGCAACCCCCCCCCCCCCAACAGCGATGTCGCATCTCCGCACAGTAATGACACCCGGGGTAGTCGCACACCCCCCCCCTTCCCCACAGCGATGATACCCGGGGTGGCCGCACCCCCTACCTGCTACATTCTTCCCCCTGTATTTCTCCTCTTCTTTCTTTCCTTTTCATTTCCTTTCTTTATCCCCACGTCTCAGTGCTGACTTTCTTTTCTTAGTCTTTTTTTCTTCCTCTCGCCTCCTCCTGCGCCCCCCTCTTCCTCTCAATCTTCTACCCCCCCCCCCCAATTCTCCGTTCTGTATGGTAGAAGAAAACATGAGCTGAGGTAGTACACGTCCTATTTTCATAATGGGGCAGTGACAGTGTTAACAACAGGGCAAACACAACAGGTGTGTTCATTTCTGGGATTCAGGTCAGGTCGGATTTTCTTTTCTTTCAAAAATGACATTGGCTCCCATGTCCACCCAGCATTGAATGTAAGAAATGGATCTATAGCAGCCACACGCGGACAGCCAAGCATGGGAGGGTTGCCAATGGGATTTTTGTCAAAACCCAAGCTAAGCTGACCAAAAACCCAAGCAATATTTAAGAATTTTTTTTTAAACATATTTTATAGTTACGAAGTGAAACATTTACGCACTTTTAAATAAGGATATATATATATATATATATATATATATATATATATATATATATATATATATATATATATATATATATATATATATTAAAAAAAAAAGATTCCAAAATCTTAACCCAAGGTGTCGTATAAAAACCCAGATCTTGGGGGAAAAGCCCAAGTACTGGCAGGCCTGATGGACGGGAACGCGGTCAGCGCTGCTGTTGTTTCTCGACCACTTAGATTTACCAATTCCGACAGAAAATTCCGTGAACTCTAAATATTGACAGACGCATTAAATAAAATGCTACAAG